GGAAGTCGGACCTCGATAAAGCCAAGCTGGGTGGGGGCAGACTCACACTGCTGGAAGAAGGTCAGGAAAGTTAAGAGCGAAGTTAATTACTGGTCGGTTCGCCGGAACTACTGGCGTTCGCCGTGGTCGTCTACGAGGATCGCCGCTCGACTTTATGCTCCCGCTAGGATTACCCTATAGGCTTTTTGTGTACCTACAGTCTCTAATCGAGACTCGCGGAAAAGTCGAATTGTTCACAAACATGACATTAAACAATGGCGATAAGTGTATCAATGCTATTTACGCGTACATATATATAGATATACAGTATTATATTTAGTGCTAATTATTTCAATTTTAAGTTTCACAATTAAAAGTATAATTTGATTCTGCTCGTGAAAACAAATCTCATGAGATCTACCATCTCACGCGAATAATGAAGATTTAATCCGAAATATACACACTTGGATTCCTGAAATCTCAATCATATTTGTTACCGTAGCTTCCACAAAAATGGATACATTTCAATTAATTTTTTTTAATCAATGGAGAATTAATTAAGGAACAAGTTCATAATGTGTAAAAGTCGATAGAATTAAGGAAATTTGAGATAGGTACAAAAAAAGACTCGAGAGAATTTAGATCTTTAATGCTATTTTTTTTTTAACACTCGACATAAAAAATACCAGAAATTGTTGAGACTAACGCACAGCGAGCGACATACAATCTATACGTTTTTTCTTGTATGCTTTTACAATAAAAAATCATGGAAGAAATTAATCATTCGTTACACGGTGCAATTATTTCACGTGTCAATGAGAGAAAATCGCGATCTAGAAAATTTCACGTCTTCTCGTTATTTTGTACGACCGATCACATTTCCCCGATACGCAACAGTCAATATTCCATGAATGACTCGACTACTTATTAGATGTCTTGCAATGAGTTTGACATGTTCATTAATCATAATCATTACACGTATCAACATAGTATAACGAATATTGCGAAAGAGTTAATAATGTGCGCAATATAAGCAGAGAAAAGACGCATAAACGTTTGTAATTCCTCGATGTCGCGGAAATGTCATAATAATCAACACTCGCATAAATTACAGTAAATTGCAAGAAATATAGCTTTCGTAAGTGACATGTTGAATTTTAATAATACTTATTAAAGCATCCTATAATACATATGTGAATAAGATTTAACTAGACATTTTCAGAATCGTTATTGGAAAGTAATATAAATAAAATGTTTGTCATTATAGACCATATTTATAATACTTAATTAATACCAATTGGTTCATTAATTACAAGATTAATATACAGATTAATGCGTGTATCCACAAGTAATTTTATCTGAGTCGTTTGTAAAAGAGAATCGACATTTCGAGAAAGTTATGAGTTTTCTCGTTTCGATGGCTGTAATTTTCGAAACAGGGTTACGGTTAAATAATCGAAAGACTCCGATGTAATCGTCGGGTGCATGATTTCACGGATGAATTTATAACGTGCAGGCCATTTAAATTGGAAAGGAGTTTCGACCAGTGCCGAAGAAGTGTTATACAATCTGTAAGGCTAATGGTACAAAAGAAACCGGTGATATTTTGTGGCAATAACGTAACAACCTGTCGCTTCATTGGCGCTAAATCTTACCAATTTATAAGATTATAAATTCATATATTATCTCAATTCTTTTTTAATGTTAATTATCACGTAACGGAAAGGCAAATCCTTTATTAGCTATTTGCAGCGGGTTATAATTACGCAAAGATCGTAACGTTAAGAAATAGCATTTTATGTATAAAACCGGTTAAATTATTTTAATTGACCTTTTTAATACTTATCTTCAAATTATGTAACGTTTAAATTATCAATTAGGCTGGAGACGATTTATGATCGACTTTTCATTTTATCTCTCAGATTATTGATTGTATGAATATCAGCTTATAGATCAGGAGTTACTTTCTGTTCTCACGATCATTTCATGAAACATTGCCTTATAACTTTCTTCTATTTTAAATGCTTGTGAGGCATTTCCGCGACATTATAGACGACAACATTTGATAACTTAAATTGATTTATGCCAATACGCGTTATCATCTCGCGAATGTTAAACGGAGGATGGGACACAATAAAAAGTTCAGTCTGTCAGGAACGAGGTGAGTTACGTAATTCTTCGTGGAGCAGAGAATCCGAAGACGCCGGAGCGTCCACAAGACTCAGCTTTCTCCTGCCAGCGGCACATTAAAGAGAGACGAGACATCTTCGTGGCAGTCCAACATACAATCGTGTGCTCTGCTTGTGCTTTGCTTAAACCATCTTGCGACAATCGCTTATCGCAAATGTATAATTATTGAAATTCCATTTTACGTAATTTATTCCGGATGTCGTTAAGAATTAGAAATTAAATTAAAAATTGAATATACTTTCTTATATTAAGAGTTTGATTAGGATAAAGAAAACCTCGATTAATCTTTAAGTACGGTTTAAAGATACTCAAATTAATAGATGAGGTGCTCAGAGTTCTCCAAAAATTATAATTTTGTTTTTATAATAATTATATACTTTTATCTAATATATTATATTTAGAGATGAATATGATCAAATTTTACGATAATTTACTCGGTAATTTACTGTAAATTAGTCAGTAATTTATGGAGGCTGGTAAAATGGTAATTTAAAAAAACAATAAAATTATAGTAATTTAATATTATATAAGTAATTTAATATAAAAATTTTTTTTGTGTGTGTGTTACCATCCGTATAGTTAAGATATGTAATTTCAATTGTCAAAATTAATTTGTTCATCTGAGCGATATTGTATGTTAAAAATGCGTATATTCGAAGTTGATTGGTTTGTTTAATTTACATGGGGTTATTTATGGCTGATGAGGACTCTGTGAAGTCGAAACGTTCCATATATCAGTGTTAATATTATAATAAATTTATACATATATCTAACAACCAGTATAGCTCAATTTGTCTTGACTTGGGAGCTTTATTATTTTTTAATATGATTTTTTGTAAAACACAGCTGGAGCTAACAATCAAGTTTTAATTATATGATAACAGTTTATAAATAATAAGTTAATTTCAATAATTTTTTATAATAATCTTTATAATGATTCTTTGTATTCGGCATGTGTACATTTAAAATAAACTTTTATATCATACAAAAAGTCGAAATTGATTATTGAAGACTGAAATATATACATGTTCTTTGATTTCAAGTCGAAGTTTTCATTGAGTTTTTGTCAGTGCATCGTTGCATGACGAACTCGTGAAATGTGTGGGCTGCATTATGTAGTTGGTACGTATATTAATTTATGTTTGCCGCCGTTTGCAGATATGAATATGGAAATGACAAGTACGTTGCATCAAGAAACACGGCTCGTAAAGGTTCTGGTCTTAGATAAGTACAGAGTTCGCGACAGAACAAATGATCGTTGACAGGAACGTCATGTTGTGATCGCTTTTCATTACACTTTGTAGACTTGTTGAATCTAGCTATACCTGAGGACAATTCGTCTTTCAACAAACGATAATTTGAGGCGTAAAGTGATGTGTTGAAACTTTATATTGTATGGTATATGTATAATGTACAGCCGACTAAAAGTATATCACCTTTAAGATTTCATAACTTCCGTCAGAGTAAATTAAATGCACTTAAAATTTTATAGTATAATAGGTATCTGGATGACAGGCATGCACATGTGTAACAAAGTTGACTGTGTAACAAATTAAAATTTTCGAAATTTCTATTAATTTTAATAAAATTACGTTTTTGTGTTTCCTTTATTTTTCAAGTATTAACTCTGTCGCTTTTTTTCAATTATGAACTGATTTTAGTGATTAGTTTAGTGTTTTACAGTTTACTAGCATATAAACTTATTTTGGCGATTTAAAGTTTATATATATATTATCAATAATTATTTTTTAAATTTCCAAAAAAATTAATTTTTTATGAGTTATTGTTTTCATTATTTGATGAAAAGTTATTATTCAGTAAGAATAATAACTATATAACTCTATAAAGAGGTCTAAACCTATCATCAGAATTAACATGTTATAATATATATACATATATGTGACACAAATATATGCACTTTAAATCGTAAGTTATTTCTAAAAAAATCTATTATGTACATACTTTTCGCTGATATTGTACATATATATATGTATAATGAGAAAACATTTTTTTAAATATTATGTTAATAAAAATACTAATAAAAATACTAACAACACAAAAATCAGAAATAAAGCCTAATTAAAAGTAATATATAATACATGGAAAAATAATATTAGAAGGTTTAAAATAAAAAAAGAATATTATTTTAAATGCTGAAAGTTCATATTTATTGATTCGTAATTTTTTGTATACTCATTGAATTGAAATAATTATTTTTCCAGAAAATCGTTTGATAATGTTTTATTCTAACATGCTCTTGTTTTCTCTGGGATGAATTTAAAAAGTTATAAAAATTTTGAATGGAGAAAAGGATCAAATGATACTTTTTTTAAGAGCACAAAAATAGTTTTATGACCGAAAACATTTTTTCTTCAATAATCTATAAAAATATTTACTAAAAGAAAGTTTTGTTCAAAGTTGTTTATTTTTTGTGTTCGTTTCAAAAAAGTGTCGTTTGATCCCTTTTTCTCCATTCAAAATTTTTTATTAACCTCTCAAACATTCAAAAGAAAACAATTAGCACGTTAAAATAACATTATCAAACAATTCTCTTAAAACATTACAACTTTTACACGTTTGTCAAAAATCTATTTTTTACAAGACAGAGTCAAATATTTTAAAATATTTTTATCACTTTGTGTATCATTTAATTACAATAAACACCTTTTATTATATTAATTTTGAAACATAATTATTATTTCAAATTAGGAGTATGTATTAACATAAAATGATCCAATGCTGCAAAAAAATATATATACATTATATATTGTAAACGTAATAATATTTTTCATAATACTATATAAATATAATAATAAATATTATTTATTATCTTACTTATTTGTTGCGTTGTATCCCAAATTATTCTGTTCATTGTGTTTGCATAGACCTAGTAGATAAGAAATATAGGAAGGACATTTTGTCGCTTTACATTCGGAGAGAGTAGGCTCGAGCTTACATTTTATGTACTGTCTGACTGATGCTGCATGACTACAAAAAGCTTGTAATAAGAAAAAAAAAATCATTAGATAAAAAAATAAATAACTTAATTTTTTCAAATTTTATCTCGTATTAAATTTAGTATAGTAATTAATTTTTTATGTAACTTTTTGCAAAATTCATAACATATTCAAAATAGTAAATTACTATTTTGCAACTGAAGGAAAGTCGTCGGTATTGACAAGGTTTCAATCTTTCAGAATCTAAACATTAAATTTTATTGTTAATACTGATAAAAAAAATTAATAAAATATAAATGAAAAAAATAATAGATAATAAATGGATTGTACACACATACACACACCACCAGCCAACTAAATCTTTGAGAGAAAAAATTAATAATAGCAATACTTCGAACAGTATTAAAAAACTATTATATTATTTCATAGAAGACTTGCTAGTCTTTAAATTTATAATTTTAATGTTTAATTTTTAGTCTTTGTTTAATAAGTATGATAGTATCTCGACGACCTTTTTTTATATTTTACAATTTCCAGATAATCTTTTTAACCATAAATGATATTAAAATCACTATTCAATAAAAGCAAGAAATAAGATTAACGTTCACTATAATCACTTGACAATATTATCATATTCAGTCACATTGATTATATTACCATCAGGGCCTGTTAGCTGGATAGTTGGACTACAATTGGGTTGAAAACGGGTACCACTATTCAGGAAAAATTGCAGTTCGAATAGAAACGATGGGGTGCCATATCCACCCATATCTGAATGAACAACATCTACCATCGTCGCATCATTGTCCGAAAGATAGCATCCTGTTTTGCCTGCAGATAATATAGGATTCGCAGGATCCAGTCCTATAAACAATAATTTTACTTTCAGGAATATTTCAGAATAATACAACAAATACTTTAGACTTATGTATTGTATACAATTATATAAAATGCAAATTTCTTCGCAGATTTTCTCTGTCAACTTTTCATTAATGTAATAAATAAAGATAAACAGAAAAAATATTATTGTTACTAAAAAATCAATTATTAAAAATAAAAAAAATGTTAACAATATTACTAAAATATACGCGTTTTAAAGACATTATTAAATATAATTATTTATTATTATTAAATATCACGAACGCATATATTGTGCGCAATATTTATAGCTTTCAATATTTTATTTTTCAAGAGAAGTATGATTATTGAATAAATAAGTATTTTATTCAAGCAGTCGGCATTTAGTGCATCAAAATCGCATATCATACATCTATATAATATTATAAAATGTGCGAAAAATAAAATATAATTGAACTATGATTGTTATACCTTACTTCTAATTACACATGCGTCAGTCAATCATTGTACTGCATATTCATTACGCGTATAGCAACACTTTTACATAAAAGCAAAACTAAAACTATCACTTATTAGTCTATTACAATCATGTAGATGTTTGTGATTAAAATGTATTTGTCACTTAATTAAAGACTGTTGATGTTTTTTTTCTGAAGTATGTGACCAAAATCAATTTATTTCGAAAATCTAATCAAACATGTAAAAAAATAATATTGGTGCGATTGTGCATTTATTAATTTTTGAAATTCTACTTTGCATTAGTTCTTGATAACATGATTCCATATAACATGACATTTTTTATGGAAAGTTATATAATTACCGCATTAAACGGGGATACCTGTACTCACAAATATACGCTATGCGCATGACATTTAGCTTTTTATTTTTTTCTATATTTGCTTAATTTTAAAATAAATATATACGATTAATGTTATAGGCTGTTACTTTACTATTGCACAATTATCTTTGATACATATTACAACTGTTAAAATATGCAATGATACCTTCTCACGAAGGAAATATAGGAAAAGAATTAATAAACATCGCAGACAAAAGGTAATATACTCTGACATATAAATTTAAATATCAATTTAATATGCGTTTTTTTAATTAAAAAAATAGAGACTTGCTTAAATGCTCCAATATTTAATTGTATGAATTTGGAATTAATATATTACAACGTTACTATTATATTATTAACCATTTGATACAATTGCGAAAACATGTGACGACAGCAGCTCACAAAGAGCAGCGAGAGAATGAATTGACATAACAAAAAAGAGATAACAATACTTCAATAGACTAGTATTGATTTAAAATGCATTTTTAATAATGGATAAAATAAAACACATAATTTAATTATGTATATATACCTACCTGTAATGCGAGTTTTGTTGCATGTGGTACAATTACCAATAAAACTAGCTATGTATACGCCTACTGAGAACGAAACTATATAAATATCATGACGTTTGCACAACTTTTCCACACTATTAGCGAAAAATGGTCCTATTTTTTGGGAATTCCCGAAAACGGTCCGATATGCAATCAAAGGATTCGATTCATCCACATCAGTAGAATATTTGCTCCAATCAAGTAACACAACGTTGTCTTTTCCTCCGTCACAGAGCGCTAATAATATAAACAAATTTTAATTAGTACAATCTCACATTGATTTCATAATAATTTATTTATTTATTAAAGAAAGACACAATACCATCTATCATTTCCACGACAAGAGGGCTGCTTGAATTTAAATCAAAACCAAAAATAAAAAAGACAATTCGTTTCTTTTCATCTAATACGTCTAACATGCCTTCTGCCTGAGTGATAGGAAAGGTCATCGTTTCATTAGTACTGAAAAGAAATTTCATTATTGCTAAAAAGTGTTTTTTTACAGTTATAAAGGAAGATCGCCAATACCGACAAACGATTTGGTTTTAAACAATATTTCTTAAACAAAAAATAAAACTTTTAAAACATAAATGCGAAGTAAAAAGAGTTTTTTAACATATAATATAGCTGTTTTGATAATACCGTTTACGATTTTGCAATAGTCAACTTTTTCTTAAAAAATAACCAATAATGAGCGTCTGATAAAATCGGTTTCGAAACTGACACAATAGGGAGTAATGCGCCATATTTACCTAATCTTTTTTTTTACAAGACTCAATAAACAAGTATGGACCTAATGGATTAAAATTTATTCAAATTTTCAAAATTCGCGAATAAAATAAGATTTTTTTTCTCAATTTTGTTTAAAATAAGATTTTTTCAATTCCCAATGCATTTTTATTTATTTATAAGACTTACAAAAAGCACATTCTCTTTAATGAAAAAAAATTCTAAGAGCAGAACGCGATGAGAACGCAAGACGAGGCCCGAACATAAATCATCAAGTGGATATCAATGCGTGCCAGAACAATTATTTTCTATCTTGTGTGGGGTCGAAGGATATTTCTACCGAGACACTACCGTGTTTCTAGATTTAACACACTGAAAAAAAAGTCTAATAATAGCTATTAAATGTATGGTAAAATAATGTGTCAATCAAATGTTTGGTTAATATAACAAGAAATAATGTTACTTTTACTAATATTTATAGTATTACAGGAGATGATAATATTTGTAAAAGTAACATTATTATTTGTTATATTAACACTAAACGTACTGAGATTTAATATATACCTATTTGTACTGTAATCGGTCAAATGACCTGTCGCGATAAATAAAACGCTAGGCTACACGTGTTTATTAGATTTAACAAATAAAAATATAAATAAATGATGTAAAATTAATATATATTTATATATTTAATATTTATAAATATATGTATATATATTTAATAGAAGAAGTCATGAAGTCAAATGTGAAAAAGCGATAACATTTCATGCGAATTTTCTAATCAAAAGTTTACAACCAGTCATTTGACCGGGTCATGGTACGTTTAGTGTTAACCAAACATTTGATTGACACATTATTTCACCATACATTTAATAGCTATTACTTTTTTTCAGTGTACGTATATTAAGTTATCGAGACTGTTTTTCGATGAAGGTAATGCGTAACACGTAATGTCTTATTGACGCTCTTCTAATCAGCGTGTATAAAACTTTATGAAATATTGAGAGAAGAATAATAAGTATATGACAATATACTTGTTATTATTTTATATTGTTTTATGTGTATTTTATTACTGCGATACCTCGCTCGTTCTCTGAAAAGTATTCCACTCCCTGTAACGAATTACCTCTACTATGGCTGAATAGTCAGTTATTTGCACTGTCAATTTTCTAGAGCTTATTTTGAGTATAATTTCTGCTAATTTTACGAGTGAGTTGCATATGATATTATCATAAAATTATGATTTAGTTCTACAAATACTAACCTTTTATAATAGGTCAAGTTGACGCCATCCACGAAATCTAGTTCTGATAGTTCACCTAAATGATAAAATCCGTTTAATGTTAGTATCTTAAGAATATTTATGTAATATTACAAAATATGTAAGAAATAAATTGCATACTTACAAGGACAATGAGATTGGTCAGCTACTATCTTTGATATTAAAAAAAGCAATATGCAAGAATGCACAATCGAATATAACATTTTGACAAATATTTATGAACTTTGAGATATGTTTCTCATATGGATAGTCTAGGCGGAAATACCATTTATATACCTTTGTCATCTCCATATAAACTACACGTGTCAACAATAAACGAAAATAATTGTATATATTTACTTCGTACTAATTATTTAAAATAATACGTACTAGAATGACTAAAGAAAAACGAAAAATTTTACAAAAAAATATATAATAGGAGAGAGCAAAGTCCACTGATACAAAAAGTAAGTTTGCATTATGTTTCATTTATGTATTTACGAAAAAAAAATACTAAAAAGGTTACCGTAAAATGTCTCTTTTATATACGGCTGGTCACATATAACACATGGTCATATTTTTTTCAATGGATTTTGAAAATCAGCTTTGCTGGTACGAAATTCAATGTAAATGGTTAGATTCTTAAGTAAGAATCAATCGCTCTAGTGAACATATTGTTTTCCAAAACCCATCGAAAAAATTATTGCAACCTTTTTATGATTCACTGTACATAAATGCCTTTTTAAAGTTAATATTTAAATCAAATCAAACAAATCTTCTTTCTACACAGAGTGATTCGAAATTCGCGCATTCGGAGTACAGGACATGATAATTTATATTAAAACAAATAACTTTTCCTTTAGCAACATTGCGTCTGACAAATAGTTTTTGCAAGAGAGCTTGTTAAAGTTTACGAATGAGCGCTGTGAATCATGTAGCGCTCAGAGCCGGCGCGCGCGTCTCATTCAAGTGTACCTAATCCATGACTAGTATTCATAAGTAATGTCTTTTAAGGGACTCATACGACTTATGATTAGTTTATTACATTTTAAGACTGTACTTAAGGCATTTTATCTTAAATAATATGGCAAAACTGAACAATATCAGTTTTCTCCATATTGTGTTGCATAAATAATGAAAACTTAATACGAGTAAAATAAATACTGCCTTTATTTCTTACGTAATACATGAATAAAAAAATTGTCTACTTGCATAATAATATAATCTAAAAATAAAGACAAATGTAAATAGTAATATGCTTCGCGAGCTGTGAACGTTCTATTATTTCAAATGTTGTACAGTATACGAGTTCGTTGAACTGTTGTTGTACAATATGGGAAAAAGTCAAATGCCGATATTGTTCATAGTTTTTTTTCTTATTATTTAAGATAAGATATCTCAAATACAATCTTATAAGATGGCATAAACTAATCATAACAGAGCAGTATGTCTTAAAAGACATTGCTTATGAATACTAGTCAAGGACTAGGTGAATGAGGCGCGCGCGCTGCTTCTGAGCGCTACATGGATCAGAACGCCTATTCGTTAACTTTAACAAGTTCTCTTGGAAAAACTATTTGTCGGACGCAATTTTGTTAAAGGAAAAAATTTGTTTAGGATAAAGTATCATATCCTGTGAAACCGAATGCGCGAATTTCGGATTACAATCTATATGAAATTTGCGTGTTAAATCGATAGTTGAATTCATTATTGTGTTTTTCTGCGATTCTGATTGGTTTTCTTGCTTTGCTTACTTTGTACTGTGGAAGTAACTGTTAGAGAACAAAGTGTTTTGAGCTCATAAATGTAAATTATTGTAATTAATCTTTATACCTGTGCACTTTTGTATATCCGTATACTGCTTGTACAAACATATAATATTAAAAGTTAAATGCAGATGCTTGCTGTGTGTGCTTGCATTGGCTAGTAATAATAAAGAAGGAAAAAATCTAATTTAAGAGAAGAAATGTAAATTTTTGAATATTTCAAAATGTTGTTTAAATATTCTTCAACTTTTGACAGAGTATGCTTAAGAGACGTATTATTAATAAAAAAAAGGTTTCTATATTATTGCACGATATATTTTTTCAGTAATATATTAAAAATTATATTCGGTAATATAAAAAAATATTATTTTCAGTAATAACAATAATTTGTTATAACAAAATTATTAAAATTAAATATATGTAAGGGGGGGGATAGAGTACATAAACTCATTTAAGGCACGCTTACCTTGACTCGCTGCTAGATGTGTATGAAATACTTAATTACAGCTTAACTTGGTAGTCATTTTAGTTCTCTTTTTAGTTCTTCAAGAATTTATTTAAAAAATTGGTATTTCGTAATATTTTACCGTAAAAATTAAACTACACAGTATTGGTACAACAAAGGTGCACGTTGTAATCAACATGTATTACACAGATATAAAAACAGTTATGTGTTTTGTTGGTTAAGAATGTGAATTGATCCCCCGTTACAGAGCGCTAATAATGCAAACAAATTTTAATTAGTACAATCTCACATTGATTTCATAATAATTTATTTATTTATTAAAGAAAGACGCAATACTATCTATCATTTCCACAACAAGAGGGTGACTTGAATTTAACTTAAAACCAAAAATAAAAAAGACAATTCGATCTAATACGATCTAACATGTCTACTGCCTGAGTGATAGGAAAGGTGATCGTTTCATTAGTACTGAAAAGAAATTTCATTATTATTACTAAAAAGTGTTTTCTTATAGTTATAAAAGAAGGTCGCCAATACCGACATACAACTTGGTTTTAAACAATATTTCTTAAACAAAAAATAAAGCTTTTAAGACATAAATACGAACCAAAAAGAGTCTTTTAACAGATAATATAGCCGTTTTGATAATACCGTTTACGATTTTGCAATAGTAAACTTTTTTTTAAGATAAGCAATAACGAGCGTGTGACGAAATCGGTTTCGAAACTGGCACAGTAGGGAGTAATGCCACATATCCTTAATCTTTTTTTTCACAAGACCCAATTAATAAGGATGGATCTAAATGGATTGATTTCTTAACAAATTTTATCTTTGAGTATGTTTCAATGCAATTTAATATTTGTGTTCAAAAATTATCCTTATTAAAAACATTTTAAAACGTAGAAATTTAATTTGTTATGTGTATAAAAATCTTATATACCTACACTTTTTAACAAAAAAAAATTCATAAGTCTAGACAGAAAGAACCATTATCTCGGAAACGGTGGCAGATATGGTTATAGGATTATTTGGATTTCTCTCGACAAGATGATGAGAAAAACTCTACGTGTTGAAACTGTATTTATCACCGTTATCGAAAATATAATCCCTAATATGTTTAGACCTGTACATTTTTGTCAAAAAGTGTATATGTTTTGAAAAAGAAGTTTTTTGTTTGTAAAATATGTATGTAAAATACACTCGAACATTAATAAAGAAGATATGTAC